TCACATGCTTAATTGGTGGCTGATTATGACGCATACCATTTTGAAAAAAAAAAAGGAAAAACCAACTTTAGGGGGTTTTTCCCCTCTTTTCACGCTACATGTATCTACCACTACAATTTGTATCTTAAAATTGTTTACATATTTCAACAAATTCAGATTTTAGAAACAAAATTTAATACTTTACAGTGTAAAAGTTGATATACGTTCAAAAAAACAAAATCTTGAATCACTTGGCAAATTTACGGCTTTTTTTTTTCTTCTTTAATTTTTAAGCAGTTTTAAAACTTTTTTTTTTAATCTACAGCATTTCGCTGTGTACGAGTAGCAGCATGCATGAAAACATAAACAATAAACAAATAATTTAAAACATTAGTTGGTCAAATGAAATGTATACATGTGAATCATCCTTCATTATTAAAACTTAAACAAAAACACAAAATGTTACAATTATTTTGGCAACACAGTCAGTAAGCACAACACTAGCTGAAAAGTAACGATCGTACAAAGCACATGCAACCGCAATGACATTATGCAGGATTCATCAATTCAAAACTGACCACCGCCACCACGTTCCCAGAAGTACAATGTTGAAATAAAAACCACGAAGTTTAACTGATCTATGCATTTGTCACATGTACCGCACTAAGTGGAGCATTTTGAATGTTTCACTGCACAGAAAATGAATCTGGACTAGTTTTAACCACAGCGGGAATACACCATAGAGCTATATGAAATTACTAGAGCGCTGACTCATGTACAAAGTGATGCCTGCTGGGCGCATCCATGTTTGTGCACAAACCTATGGAAAACTCAACATTTTTTACGGCTTTTGTCCGGCTATTTGCATATCTGCGTTTGTATTCTATACAGTTGCATTATCGAAGCCGATACGCCCAAAACCGAAACACACAATCAGTAAATGAGCATTTCATTATGCTCCGCGTGCGCAAACAGGCAAACGCTTAAGTTGTTCGCATATATTGTTCTTGCGCGCTGCATGTAATTTCATTGTGTTCTACAAACACACACATGAATTCAAAATGTCTGCGCGCAGGACGGCTTCAAGTATCTCTGCGGGGGAATGAGGAGTTAGCGCTCTAGTAATTTAATATAGCTCTATGGAATAGAACGACCCACTAAGCTCCGCCCCCACGATGCTTTGACCAATCACAGCCTTGACTAATGTCCAACATACGTGCACAGATAGCGTGACGTGCGTACACGCGTATGATGCGCGTGGTTGGAACACACAGTGTGGCATTGTAGCGGCCTGTGCGCATGTTGTTTCCTCACTTGAGCAGTGTGCAGAGATTAAAAGATCAGATCACTCAACTAAAACTTAACGGAACTTAAAACTGTTACACATCAGCCATACGATTTTTGTTTTTCGTCATATTTTGACCCAAAGGTCACTCATCAGAACATGGTAGAGACCCACACACATGTACATGCATTGTTGGTTATGAATTTCGCTTCTTTTCAGGAAGAAAAGAACAAGTGCACTGCTCTATCGCTTGTTTTTTTCCCGCCAAATTTGCAATACATTTAAATTCTTTTCCTGGAACTTTTGAGGTTGCACTACGCTACATACATTTTGAAAATGGTTACAGACATTGGTGAGCTGGTGAAATAATGTTCGCTGTTCTATTGTACTTGTATGCTTACTTATAATTAGAAAAGTTTCTATTAAACACCATAACTACAACATCAACGAAAAAAAGATCACTTATAGTCAATGTGGAGACAATGTGTGCAAAATATGAGGTTTTTACATCGTGAAAGCTGTGCCCGCCTACAAAAACTCTACTCATACAAAACTCGGCCACTTTTAACAGTGAAATAGACATCCATTCCAATCTTCCCTCAATACAGTGCATTGTCACTGGTCACCTAACATCTATCGTTCTTTTAAACAGTACAAAACCAACTTCAAACAATGAATTCTTTCAAACTTTTCTCTGGCCTGAAAATGAGTTGCATATAAAACAAAAACAGACCTCAGAATACAGTCCTTGCGATTGAATGTCACAGAGCTTTTGAGTATTTTTTAAAAACATTTTGGAAACAGGAAAAGTGCGTTACCGGATTTAATAAGCAACTACGGTTATGCAGCGTTGGCGTTTTACAATACATGTAGGTTCCTGTGATCTGTGATCGAACAACGATAAGCGAAGGGTCCAGAATTTAAATATTTTGTAAAAATTACTCAAAACCAAATCTGCCGTTTCAGACTTTCACAGAAGCAATACAATTAAGGCTATAAACAAAGAAATAAAAGATAAGCCAATTTGTCCAAATCAGTAATCAAAATAATACTCCAGATGATTGCAAATTTACTTTCAAAATTGTACTTTTAATCCGTACATGAGGTATAAATTATCAACATGCAGCGCGGCATGCATGTTTACTTCAAAGAAAAAAGAAAACATACAGATTAAAAAAAAAAAAAAAATCAGCACAGTGCGCAAGATACAATGTATCTTGCCGAGTTGCGGTCCAGCATCTTGTTAACTCAAATTTACAAATACATTTAAAACACAAACTCGTAATAATCTTAATCAATCACTAGTTAAGAATTCTTAGGTTATTTTTCCTTCTTATTTCAGACCTAACAAAACTGCCTGCCCTTTTAAGGTTTATTTCTCCCTTGTTTGACCTGCTTTTATGTGAATGGGTAAAAAGCTAGACAAAAAAAGAGAGAAATTTCATTGCTCATTATTATAAACACCGCAAAAAAAAAGGAAGTCAACACTTATTGGAGGGGTCACAATACTGAATCTGATCGTCTTATGATGACGTCATTTATATAGACCTTTGAGGAATTTTGTTAGCTACATTTTGATACCCTGTTTGCTACCAAAGACTGCAAATCGTCCAAGATTGACAACGGTTTACGAAAAATGATGCAGTTTGAAAAAGTTGCAAATTTAAAGATTACGCGAGGAGATATTGCTCCCATGCACAAAAGCACTGTGCGATCGTGATCCCTGCCATTCGTTTCCGACAGTGTGACATTGTCACGCAGCAATCTCCATTCGCGTACTCTGTAAGTTTGCAACTTTTCAAACTGCATCATTTTTTATAAACTGTTGTCAATCTTGGATGATTTACCGTCTTTGGTAGCAAACGGGGTATCAAAATGTAGCTAACAAAATTCCCCAAAGGTCTATACAAATGACATTATCATTAGACAATCAGATTCAAAATTAAGCCTCCTCTAATGACAATGGGTTTTCTTTTTTGTGGTGATTATGTCTACGCGACTAAACAACCACTGATGAGGCCATTCTAAGTATCGGGGCTGCCTCCCTCTGGATTTCACAAGGGTGCAAAGTGAAAAACAAAACACACTTTTTACTCTTTAGTAAATTGTTTGCAATGTTGATGTTTCAAGAACATTATCTGATCATGCAAGGGATTTTCAAATCTTGCCCATGCTGAGAATGGTTCTAAGACAGTGCCTTTGAGTTCAAGTAATATTTTTTTCGAATACAACCAATACAGTTGAACACAGGTCAACTACACAATAGTGGACAAAGTAATTAAAAAATACATTTTAAAAAAATTGTGTGGATAGCTACCAATACCCACAATAAGCATGTCCAGGTATTTATTTAATTCCTTATAATCGTTCATTATAATTTCATTTACTACAATTTCATTTCTGAAATCAGGCTCGTTTTTATTATTTTCTCTCATTTTATTTTTAGAGTAACGCCACTGTGTTGCAGAACTACTATGGAATCGAATAACTTGCAAACTATCCTTTCTAATGGTCTGGAGTCCAGGCTATAAATGATGGAATTTGCATAACGCAGCATGGGAATGAGTCTTCAATTGTAACCTGGAAACCAGACTAATGCATTGTCACTGCGGACAGAACACTTCCCAAAAGTGCTTCAATTGTTTTTTTCCCCCTACTTTATGGGGATTTTTTTGTTTTTCAATAACGAGCTTGATGTGATTAAGACCAGGAATTCTTTTGATTATATGAATGGATACACAAGAGGGATGCGAGGGTATGGTAGGGCCATAGAGCTATATTAAATTACTAGAGCGCTGACTTATGTACAAAGTGATGCCTGCTGGGCGCATCCATGTTTGTGCACAAACCTATGGAAAACTTGAAATTTAGTACGGCTTTTGTACGGCTATTTGCATATCTGCGTTTGTATTCTATACAATCAGCAAATGAGCGTTTCATTTTGCTCTATGCAAACAGCGCACCGCCTGCACATATTCGCTGCAGACATGGGCGTCGCGAGGGGGGGGGGCAAGGGGGGGCACTTGCCCCCCCCCCCTGGAAAAGCAAAAAAAAAAATAAAAAAAAAAGGAAAAAAAAAAAAAAATAGAAAACGAAAAGAGGCGAGAAGACAAAAATGGTGTAAATTTAACGAGTTGGGGGGGGGGGGGGGGGGGAATGTCCCTGCCCCCCTCTAAAACTGATAAATCGAGAATGTGTTGAGAAATACAAGCATTTTTTGGCAAATTTTTTTTTTGCCCCCCTCTAGAAAAAATCCTGGCGACGCCCATGGCTGCAGATGATTAACCCGACGTGTTTTTTTTTAAACCTTCATGACGCACTTAAGTTGTTTGCGTACGTTCTACTTGCGCGTTGCATTTAGAGTACACTTTCAAAATTCAATCCATCTAATTTCACTGTGTTCTGCAGATACGCACATGAATTCAAAATGTCTGCGCCCAGGACGGCTTCAAAGCATCTCTGCGCGCAAGAATGAGGAGTTAGCGCTCTAGTAATTAATATAGCTCTATGGGTAAGGCCAACAGACAGGGACTGACTAACCAGTCTAAGTATTGAAATAAAAAAATATAAAAAAAAAAAAAAAAATCATGAAACTTGCAATTTCCTTTCCAAGAGTTTGCCTTTGTTGCAGCAGGGAAGGGATGTGTTGCCCTGGGAACAAGGACGGCTCCCTAGACTGGCATCGTGTCTGGAGTGCATTGTCTTGAGTAGCTGAAGGGCAGAAGGGAGGCTTTTTTTTTTTTTTTTTTAAAGCTCAAGTATGCATGCAGAGCAGATCAGCGCGAGAGGGGGGGGGGGGGTCCTAGGAGGCTGCTTCCAGCGTTTGTTGGCAATCCTGTACTGCGGGCTCATTCTTCCTATCTGTGGGCGGAAAAAGACACACAAGAAATCAAGATGACAACGTTGCCAACTACAAAGCCTGGCATTGTCCAATTCACTTGGCTGTGACTTCCACAGACACATGTGGTATTTCCATGAAGTGTATCTACAAATTTCGTCAAATGAATTTCCCCCTTCTAAAAAAAAGAAAATGGAAGAGGGCAGTGATGGTTATTGTGATCGAATTAGCTTGCTTGCGCCTAGCAGGCAGCATCGAGCTGTATACTCCCCAGGGAGCTGAGATGGTATATGGAATGTTTAACTGGCCCAATGATTAGGGGTAATAATAATATAAAGCGCTTTGATCTTAGTTAAAAGCGCTATATCAGAAGCTGTTATTATTATTATTATTATAACTAAAACTATTTCTGAATTAAAAAGGTACGACACTCGGCAATGTATCTGGTCTTCCCAAAAAAATACTGTTTTCATTTTGCGCTACACACAAAGATCAATAAACTTGTATGTTAAAATGGTTGGTGCTTTCTTGTGCAATATCTTATCTGGAAACTCATGCTTGAAAAAGTACTTGAATTAAAAATTTCCCAGCTTGCCATATGCACACTAGTCAATGGAATACCCACATCTTGCACACAGATGTCTATGATATTCACGCAGATTCGTAAGGAATAATGCATATGTAGGAATTAGCAGGTAAGAGAGGGCCCGAAGTGGACTCGGCGATTAATTATGCAAAACAACACCAAGTCTTGACCTCGAGATTCTGACCATTCAGGGGGCGCCTTCTATTGGGTCTTCGGTAACCCGTTGTTGTATTACAAAAACACGGCAGCCAATTGACCAATCAACAGCTTAGGCTGACCTTCACACGAGATGACATCACATTTTCTAAAGTTGACCCTGTTAGGGCTGGCGCGCAGGTCGCACAGGGATGAGATTGTCAATATTTAAGAAAAGTCAGAAAATTGATGAAATGCACATTCAGTACATGTACCGGTAGGTCACTTTTGGGATAAATGCAAATGTTCCTTCATGTATATTCCTTCAAACCTGGTAGAAATTGTCTTTGTTGTAAAACAGTACTGGGACCTCAATACACTGTTTAGGATGATAGGCTGTGCAGCCTCTCTGCCAGCTACATACTGTCATGTCTGTCCAACACATGTTTACCCATACAGGAGTGAGTCAGTTAATTCTATTGCAAAGTTCAATGTCATGGACAGGATGTTGATATAATGACAAGCGTTACACACAGCAGCATATCATCAAGCTCAAGCAAAGCTTTCTTTTCTTTACATTCACTCTCACATATTTATTTCAAAAATAGATATCACAACTAGAGTTTGAAGGATTTTTAAAACTAATTCAATTGTTTTCAAATTGATTGAATATGGGAAAACAAGTTTAATGTAATTATTATAAAAACGGTCTATTTCTATCACGGATACTACTAACATGTAACTTGAATTTTGGCATTCACGAATAATAATGTTTTAGAAACTTGTACTGATTTCGTACGCTGATTTCGCTTGCACGGGAAGAAAGCATTTTTTAAGGTTATATTTTGTCCACCCCCAAAAAACACTCAGACCAGAAAGTAATACCCACATGTATGACAATTTCAGGGACTTTTCCCAAAGAAAAATGGGACAAACCCTGTAGAAATTGAGAGAAAATGACAACTCTGTTTGGACCTCTGTCCATTTTCAATGGGCTGCCTTCGCTTTTTGTTTTCCGGCCCATTTATGCGCATGCGTGAATGAATCTGAATTTATTAGGGAACTGATTAATTGGCTAAACACGCCACTTTGTACTTCTTCCGGTTCCAATGGTCCCCAATGTTTTTCAATGGTACTCTGTGTGTAGTGGGCGTGGTTTAAGTTGAAATGACGTGACACTTACTTACTGGATAACATGATTCATGGTTTAAACTCACAATGCAATGCCAAGAAAGCAATGAGTAATGATGGGTCATTTATCTTAAGTTATGATGTATAGACCATTAGCATGTTGCGGCCATCTTGATTTTTTCCCATTCAAATCAACATAACCAAAGCAGGGCTGGAAGGAGAAAAAGTCTGGTTCCTTTTTGCACAAAAACTATCATCATTCAGTACTGTTATTGGATACAGGGAACATGACTGAAATGGCGGCATCATGATGAAGGTCTACTGCAATGACCCATGGACTGACCTGCTTCTTCTGCCGCGGCATCGTTCGTCCACAGCGTCAGGTTGTCTCGTAACAACTGCATAATCAACGTGGAGTCCTTGTAGCTCTCCTCACTCAGTGTGTCCAGCTCCGCGATGGCGTCGTCAAACGCCAAGCGGGCCAGCCGGCAGGCCCGGTCCGGCGAGTTCAGGATCTCGTAGTAGAAGACGGAGAAGTTGAGGGCTAGGCCCAGCCGGATGGGGTTGGTGGGCTCGAGCTTGGTGGCCAGCTCCATGGCCGCTTTGTAGGCCACCAGGCTGTTCTCGGCCGCTTCCTTCCGCGTGTTGCCCACGGCGTATTCCGCTAGGTATCTGTGGTAATCCCCCTTCCTGGAATATTGGTGACGAACAAATGCATGAGTTTTGAAGTAACACAATGTACGTCAATCAAATTGCCCTTCACCGACATGGTTTTGCCCTTAACCGACATATAAAAACTGTATACTCAGTGTGTTACCTCCCGAGTGAAAGTTGGAGAAAAATCACTCGGGTGGGACTCGAACCCACGACCTCCTGCTTTCTAGTGCAGATGTCTTACCACTCGACCATCGAAATGGGATCGGTTGGCTGGTTCGAATCTGATGAACATAGCAGCGGGTACCACATTAACTATTCATAGGATGGAATTTTGCGTCTGGGTGATGTAAAAGACAAAGTATGTCTTTTTTGAAGAACTCGTTAACTCTATGTGTGCTCTGTTTGACACTTTTTCTTTACTTTGGGAAATTGCAATAACAAGAGTGTGGAAAACTTTTTTTGTAAAAGGGAAAATTTGGTGAGTTTTACATTGGCGCCATGTATCAATTTTTCTTTTGTGAGTCGTGAGTGGTTCTGTGAATAACCCGTTAACTTGATATTTCAGAATTCCATGTGCTCTGTCTGAAATCAGAAAATAACCATTCTGCTGGCGTTTTCTACCTACGCTTCGGTACATTTCTTTAAATCCTGCAGGAAGTTCCTTGGGGCTGTCATCTTATTTTTTTCCCCAAGGGATGAGGAATGGTCAACGGATAATAACACTCTTTTGTGGTCTTGGGGTTAGTGGGGGGGGGGGGGGGGGGAATACAAACTAGAATTGCATTTTCAACAGACATCAAAGGCATACTCGAAACCCCGTTCTCGTGTGACCCGCGAACTGTGTTCCCGGGTTGCTGATTACGAATGCCCAAGTGCGTGTGGAGTGCTGCTGGGCGTGCATTCAAGATGGCAGCCGCCATATTAAAACGCCAAATGAAAAAAGGAAAAATCGCTCAATGCTCACGTACCATTTTAGTTTGTATCACTACTGTTCCTGCACTGAATGAGAGTCTCCAATTTTATGAACCAAAAAGTAACGCATTGTGGTAAGTCCACCATCTTTGTTCTTGAAGTTCTTCATCTACTCCCCAATAAGTGGGGGGTGAGATCCTTGTTCGCGAACACCATTCGAATTCTCGCCATTCGAAACCCCGTTCTCGTGTTCATTGAATGGGGTTTTGAATGTGCCCCTAGATTCCTGCACAGAGTTCATTGATGTGAGGGACTCGCTCTGTTTTGTTCCCACGGGTTGGAAAATGGTCAAATGATTGTAACAATCCACATGTTCTGGTGAAGACCGGTGTAGGGGCCTGGCAGGAGAGGGACACAAGTCAAATAACATTTTTTTCCCACAGATATTACAATTCTTACATTTTGTAGTAGAACACTAGAGGCTCCCCGGCCGATTGGCCTGCTGATGGAATGAGATATTTGTCGATGACGAGCAGAACGTCTGTGCATACATCTGAGAGCTCCTTCTCAATCTAGATTGGTAAAAAAAAAATTAAAATAAAGTTAAGATTAGAAAGACACTTATTCTTATTCCACTTGAACTTGGACAGATTAGAACTGGGGGGAAAGGATACGGATAAAGTATTCCAAATGAAGCAGTACATGAGAAGAAACTGGAAAAAGTGTGAGCAAATGACTCAACTCGACTCGAGTCCCTCATCAGAAGACTTGACTCGAGTCGAAGCTAATATAATAATACTCGAGTCCCAAATATGTGCGAAAATCCATTTGTGGAGACTTGCAGTAAAAAGTAATTTATGTTCGTGTACTTTGCACCTCATGGTTTTATAATGTAGCGCACGAACTACTATCCCGAAACTGGACTTTAAATGCATTTCCCGATTCTTGGTTCCAATATTGGCATTGGGCGATTTGATGGAACTCCAGCTGAATTCATGTCTTGCTTTCAAAAAATAATTAGATAATTTCTATAATCAGAAACAGTTTCGTATGTTGCAATTTGGTTTTGAAGTTGTCAGCATAAAAATGATTCCAGTCCCGAAGCCAAACCAGCAAAAAACAAAACTTTCACTTCTTGTCTGTTACGTAGATCTTTGGTAGAAGAGTCCAGCAGAACGCTGTCTATTGAGTACCATGCAGCATATGTGAAGTCTTTGGATCTTCATAAGAAACTTGTGCCTTGTGCTCTTTTTTCCATTCTGTGGTTTATTAGACGGTGTTCAAATATCGGTGACACGAATTGACTCGAGCATGAATTTAACTCAACTCAACCACACACTGTGACTCAGCTTGACTTGAGCTTCTTGATCTAATGACTCGACACGACTTGAGTCACTTCCTTAAAATGACTCGAATTGACTCTAGCATAAATTCAGTCAGTGGCCGTGTCACGCACACAGCCCTGTTTGGCCTCAGTTTCTTGTCCCGAGGTCAAACACGCATGGCCCAAAAGCGTACGCGAGATTTTACGAGATTTATTCGACACTACAGAAAAATACGATCACTGTTTGGCCAAGATGGCTAAAAAAGTGAAAAGTTGGAATCGTGTGCTTTATTTTGATACCAAAAATAACTGCTTTTGACAAATAAAAAGTGTTGTTACAGCCTGTCAAACAATTGCGAGGGCCGATAGTTTTTAGGTGTACATTCGATTCTTAAAAAAAGGGCCGAAAGAAACGGCAAGGCTCAGTACATGTAGATAGAGGAAAGTATACACTTCATTTTCATGTGAAACAGGTGCAGGAGACTTCTAATGTTTGGTCCAGATCGCCGGTTGAAAAATGAAAACTTTTGCGAGATTTCATTATTTGCAATCACATGTACGCGTGTAAACGAACGTAAGTATACTCTGACGTACGTTGGCCGCGACTGAAAACATTGTGAACAGCACATGCTATAACGTGCAATGGATGACTTATGAATATTAAGCAGGCTATACTCGAGCTCGACCAATCAGTGGGCGTATGGGTCACAAGGTCACACCGTGTTTGGGTTCCTTGCTCTATGCTTTACAATGGCGACGATCTTTTCGCGTTGTGAAAAATGGAAGTTGTTGGAAACATTAGGTGTACATCGAATTCTTAAAATATTAACGACATCACGTTCACAAGATTTTTTGTAGATGAAGGTTCACTCTTTCCTTTGATTACCTCAACATTTGGGAGACTTTCGTCGTTCTCGGAAAAAAACGGAAATTTCATGACCTAATTTTTAGTCGATTTGTCCGTGAAATAATATCATCAAAATGCATCGAAATCTTTTTTTGTGAAAAAATACCTTGATGGATGTATGAAGTAGGTCTTTAACTACCTACAACAATTTTGTTTATTTGGATCAGTTGTGGTTTGCCATGAAAATTGTGAATTTTCTGAAGCCCTTTTTACAGCCATCGTTCGCTGGTCTTGCGTTGCTGTCAGTTGTGTGGACGAGAAAATAGAGCAGCTACGCGTGACACGGCAACTGATTGAATTTGACTCGACTCAACCATACATTGTGACTCAACTCGACTCGACTCAAGCTTCTTGATCTAATGACTCGACACGACTTGAGTCACTCCCTTAAAATGACTCGACTTGACTTGAGTCAAAAAAATTCAGTGACTCGTTACAACTCTGGATGAAATGGACTCGGGGACGGTGACTGCATATTAAAATCAACCTAAGGGGTGGTGGAGCAAAAGTTGAGCCATCTCCAAATTGGTTTGCTACGGCTTAGAATTACATGGTGTACACATGCGTCTCAGGAAGCGGCCGCAGCCACTTCTAATAGACATGTAATTACAGCCAGCCGCAGCCAAGTGCTTCCGCTGCGGCTAGTCCTACCTCTTCTCTGTATTCCTTCATCATTGCTAGTTTGGGTGAATTGGGGTCTTTCTTCTCCTCCGATAGCTCCAGACTGCTGGCTATCCTCCACGACGCCCGCCGGGCACCGATCTTGTTCTTGTACGCCACCGACAGCAGGTTGCGCTCCTCCACGCTCAGCTCCACGTTCAGCTCCGCCACCCTCTTCATGTAATCCACCATTTCTGATCAACACAAAGGGGACAAAAGTCATTTACCATTATGTTGGTCGAGTATGAAGACGGCAGTGGCGTAACTAATGGGGGTGGGGTGGAGGGGTAGGGGAGGGGGTCGGGGTAGGAACCACAGGGGGAACGACCCCCCCCCCCCTCCCCCAGGAAAGAGGCCCATACCCACCACATTGCGAAACCTGCCAAGAATATGGAAAAGTACTGATCTCAAAAATGCAATCGTCTTTTAAAAAAAACATTATTTGGTAGGTTAGAAGAGACTTTCATCGCACAAAGCATATACTCATGTTGTGCAATATTCCATGCTTTTATGCTAACTGCATTTTCCTTTCCAAAGTAATCAAAACAAAAAAACTTGTATCTCCCTTGTTAAAGGTTTGATATTTTGAACAAACGCCAAGTCTAATTGTTCTGGAATTATTCTTCACACTCAAAACGCTTTTAAAAACAAATTATGTGGCAATATCAGAATTTTTTCGGGGGGCCAGGTGGGGCGGGAAGGGAGGGATTTTTTTAACCCTTTTATGGCCAACATGACTAAAAAATGTCAGGCAAATCTGGGTAAAAACACGTTCTATACACATTCAGCTGATGCATCTAGTATGAAAACTGTGACTTTCACCAAATTTAGCTGGCAAATGATTATAGTTATGAGGAAGTGAATTCATCTCTTGATAATATTACCTAGCGTTTAGTGAATTAATACATTTTAGTGGATGTCACTGCGACCTTTTCCTTTTTTTTCCGTTTGCCAGGGAAATTTTGAATCACTTCAATACAGAGCTCCAACTCCTGGAATAGAATCAGAAATGATTCATAAAAATGTTGTTCTCACCCAAGCCTACTACATGTGTATATGTGCATGTAAAGTATTCGGCTCCCATATGAATCACAGTCACATGCATTTCTAAGCATGCGGGAAGCGCCCGATGTAATTTACTCTTTAGTTCCAACATGTCATACACTATGCATGTACTGATGTACATGTAGTCATACTGCATCAGGGGGCAAAAGGCCGGGCAAGGAAACCCTAAATGACATCACGCACTCACAGACATGCGGCGTACATGTTAACTGTGATTCATTTAGTGGCCACACTTGTGCATGTACAATGCAGTTTTCACTGTGTGCCTGGAGCATTTGCTTAATTAGCTCAAATGTTGTGCCCTTCTTTTCTGAAATATCTAAATTCTGTGACCAAATACATGTAAAATTCCTAACACTTAAACTATTATCTTCCTACCTGAAAGGCATGCCCTGATTTTTTTTAATGTTTAATTTCACTCATGTGTTGCTCACAATGGAAAGTTGAGAATTATGGCTTTTGTTTCCGTTGTGGGTGTTCGGCCACTATGGCCACTAAAAGGTTTTACCAGGCTGAATGTAAAATTACACATCATAAATGTGTGCCTAATGCACACGTAAAATCACCCTTGTTTACATTACATACATGTACCCTATGAGGACATTCCTTTGTTTTTGCACACTTAAGAACACCCGAGGAAAAAAATATTTTACTCACACTGTGAAAACTCTCTCAACCCAAATATTTCACCCCCATTTCCTTGCGTGTTCCTCTTCATTTTGCGACAGATGACCCTTACCCCCAAAATGCATCTATTTTACTACATAAATCCACATATATAAATTAGAGTTCTACATGTAATTTACTGACACCACTCATGAACATATCAGGATATTGCAGGATTGAGGCAGTGGTCACCCTTCGAAGAACCACATTCAAGAAACAACGGAGGATTTGCAGGATTGAGGGTGTACATATGCAATTGTTGCATGGAGACAGTTCGAGGCTTTTGCAGGATTGACAAAAAATGCCTCAGGAGTTAGGGTTCACATGCCGTTAACCACATAAATCAACAGGTTCTTTGTGCAATTAACTAATACCACTCAGTGGCACTCATGTAAATCCCCCCCCCCCTCGTACACTATGTATGCACTTAACAGAGATAAAAAATCAGCCATCTGAAACTGAATGAACTTGAAGCACAGTGTCAAAGTACAAGCCAGTCGTTCATTCTGGGGATTCTCAAGTTCACAAGTAAAAAAAAAAAACACCTACAAATTGTACGCTGTTAAAGATAAGGGTTCAACACTGAATGTTTGCTTGACCGAGCCACTCAACATTGACCCCCGTGCACGCTTTGAAATAGTAAGCCTCTTGGGTGGTGGAATAGGCGAACTATTGGACTTCGGTACATGCACATGCCCACACAATGTACACTGCTATTTTCACCAAAAGTGGGTGTGTGCTTGAAACTGCACGTGCTACAAATCCAGGCGATCCTACTTTTAATTTTTTTTGGGGGGGGGGAGGGGTGGTAATTACCGGTACATATCAAGTTCATGTAGTGTATAGGAATGTTCAAGTAGCAGACAAATGTGTTGGTGAAAGGCAAAGATTTTTTTTTATTAATAGCAATGACAACTGAAGACTGCCCATTACAAGTGGTTCAATGGGCTAGATGTTGACTAAGGCTGCGCCGAATAAACTGAATATTTGAATATCGAAAAAGCAGTGCATTACATGTACCGGTACCTGTATCTCCATTACAAACTATTTGAAAAGTTGCATACGTTGCATGGTTTTACTTTTTGTCAACTGCCTAGGACTGCCCCAAATATACTGAATATGTAGAATAGCTTTTTGCCGGTTTGAATCTTTGAGAGAAAAAAAAACCTACTCACGTACACACCCGACCGTGATGCTATTTTAATCGTAAAGTTTTGGCACTTTATTGTCAGATGCCACTTTTTTGTCGACAGGATTTTTTTTGTCGACAGCACTTCATTGTTCTCATCCCTCTACCAGGTTGAAGCCCTTGACAGTTGTAATATCGACTGCCAAACACACATTTTAACTGGCGCGCTTTGTGTGCAACTTTCAGCACATTTCGCTGCATTTGGCAATTTTTTGTAAATCACGTCAATAAGGTCAGGGAACCAGTCTAGCTGGCTTGTACCTGTTCATAGGTGTGTAATCGATTGTAAACAAAATGTGGACTAACTAAATATGTTGAATTGGGGGCTGTAATTTAAAAAAGCCAGTTTTTTCCAACACTGGTCAGCTGACCAGCATTTGGAGATTGATACAAAAATACCACTTTTCTTGAAAATGACAGCACACCAGGTGCCATGATTTTACAGGATGCTAACAGACTGTCGTTCACTAACAGTCCAGTAAGGTATGTCATAATAATAATAAATTTGGTAGTTTTGTTTTGGATCTTTGCAAATGTTGCATATTCCCTTTAAGTATAAAATACGAGCAGACAAACATTAAAATTTTTTTACAACGATAACATTATTTTTCTACCTACTTGGTATTTTAAAGGGTGTTACCGTAAACACACTTGTTTGTTTTTCTCGGCCTAACTAAAACTGCTCAGTGAGGCAGCGTTCCTATATTAAAAATGCACTTCTGAGCTCCCTTCCTGCCACTGTATCCAACAGGGCCTCAGGCAACTGTTGCATGTGGGACACAGCGCACAGTATCTTTAGCTATCCCCGGTGAGTGTATGCACATCACAACAAATACTCTCACCAGAACAATATTTTCCAAACATCTTACAGTCGTTTCATTCGTTGTGAAACCATTTCTCAGAAATCTCTCCTTTAATATGCAATGAATTCGATTTGCCGATATATAATGAGGAAGGAATCGAAGGGCACGCAAGTCAACTTCAAGATCGTCGGCAGTCATGATGATCCCTGTTTGAAATGCAGACACTGAAATTTAAGACGTTTGGATCGAAGAATTGTACTGATGATCATCAAAATGCGCCAACTGGCTTGCAAATTTGCAAAATCAGGCTTGCTCTGTTTATTATGTGTACAAAAAAAGCATAGTATAGTATTTTATTTTAAAAAAAAAAAAAATAGCAAAAAAGAGTACACATTGCAGCGATAATTTCCATAGTCTGTATTTATATATTTATTTTTAAAATTATTTTTTCAAATGCATTTAAGCTATAACATTGCAAACATTTTTACCTAAGTTATATTACAGCTAAAGATTTGTTCATTGTGTACAATCAAAATCCATCCCCTTATTTTGGGGATTTTGGTAGGCAAGCCATGAGTACCAAGTCCATCAAAATCCACCTATAATAGTGGTGATTTTGTGTTGGATTTCAGCGGATTTGGTCCTAAAGCAATATGTGAAGCAGGGTCAGTGATGGATTTCGGTGGACTTGGTCCAGTACACTAGGGAGTTAGATTTAATTACACATGTTTTAACTTTAAGGAACCAATCGAGGCTGTAGCCGTGTACCGGTACATATTCGTTTTTGGAGTGCCTGATTTTAATTTCTATTCAATTGTGTCAGATTTTATTTAAATTGACTTTAAATTTGTTATTTCAATAACTGCTTGGGTTTACCCAAGGTAAATTTGGGAATTGATGACATACCGGTACATGCACATTGCTTGTTTTCCATATGCATTATTCAACAAGATTGATAGAACCAAATGAAGTTATACATTTATAATGACATACATATGTTTTGAACATTGCTTGTTTTCCATATGCATACATTAATGTTTTATGGAACCAATTGAGGTTGTACATGTACATGTATGTTTTTAGAGTGCCTGATTTTCATTTCTATTAAGTTGTGTCAGATTGACTTTATATTTTCTTTTATTTTGTTGGGTTTACGTTTACCCAAAATGTATTTAGAAATTAATGACATACCTGTATGTAAAACATTCTATACATACTTGTACATGTTAGAAAGTTTTTACTGTACATTGTACATGTCCACACACAAACAACATTAAACTGAACTAAATAACCAATCCCAGATTCGCTGTAATTTCTGAGCAAATACAGCATAATGTGGTATATGCAGCGTAATGTGTACACGCTCATGATGCAATGGATACCTAATACTCATGACTAGTTGCTCCGACCTCAATATGTACAAGTGCATGGTCATGATGGTATTCTACACTCACATGAACATGCAAATGGG